CTAATTATGATCAAGATCATCATAATGATCATCATAGTTGTTATGACAACCATCATTTATTATGATTAATATGCCAATTATGATCAAGATCATCATAAAGATCATCATATTTGCCATAGCAACCAGTATTTATTATGATTAATATATATCATTAAGATAATCATAATGATCATCATAGTTGCCATGGCAACCATCATTTATTATGATTAATATGCATAAATGATCAAAATCATCATAATGAGCATTATCGTTGCCATTGCAACGATCATTTATTACGTTTAATATGCTAATTATGATCAAGATCATCATATTGATCATCATAGTTGCCATTGCAACCATCATTTATTATGATGAATATGCTAATTATGGTCAAAATCATCATAATGATCATCCTGGTTGCCATAGCAATTAAAATTTAGTATGATTAATATGCTACTTATGATCAAGATCATCATAATGATCATCATAGTTGCCATGGCAACCATCATTTATTATGATTAATATGCTAATTATGATCAAGATCATCATAATGATCATCACAGTTGCCATGGCAACCATCATTTATTATGAATAATATGCTAATTATGATCAAAATCATCATAAGGAGCATCATAGTTGCCATTGCAACCATAATTTATTATGATTAATATGCTAATTATGATCAAGATCATCATATTGATCATCATAGTTGCCATGAAAACCATCATTTATTAGGAATAATATGCTAATTATGATCAAGATCATCATAAAGATCATCAAAGTTGCCATAGCAACCATCATTTTTATGATAAATATGCTAATTATTATCAAGATCATCATAATGATCATCATAGTTGTTATGGCAACCATCATTTATTATGATTAATATGCTAATTATGATCAAGATCATCATAAAGATCATCATATTTGCCATAGCAACCAGTATTTATTATGATTAATATGATAATTATCATTAAGATAATCATAATGATCATCATAGTTGCCATGGCAACCATCATTTATTATGATTAATATGCTAATTATGATCAAAATCATCATAATGAGCATTATCGTTGCCATTGCAACGATCATTTATTACGTTTAATATGCTAATTATGATCAAGATCATCATATTGATCATCATAGTTGCCATGACCACTATCATTTATTATGATTAATATGCTAATTATGGTCAAAATCATCATAATGATCATCATGGTTGCCATATCAATTATAATTTAGTATAGTTAATATGCTACTTATGATCAAGATCATCATAATGATCATCATAGTTGCTATAGCAACCATCATTTTTATGATAAATATGCTAATTATGATCAAAATCATCATAATGAGCATCATGGTTGCTATGGCAATTATAACTTAATATGATTAATATGCTACTTATGATCAAGACCATTATAATGATCATCATAGTTGCCATGGCAACCATCATTTATTATGATTTATATGCTAATTATGATCAAGATCATCATAATGATCATCATAGTTGTTATGGCAACCATCATTTATTATGATTAATATGTTAATTATGATCAAGATCATCATATTGATCATCATAGTTGCCATTGCAACCATCATTTATTATGATTAATATGCTAATTATGATCAAATTCGTCATAATGAGCATCATGGTTGCCATGGCAACCATAATTTATTATGATTAATATGCTAATTATGATCAAAATCATCAAAATGAACATCATGGTTGCTATGGCAACCATCATTTATTATAATTATTATGCTATTTATGATCAAGATCATGATAATGATCATCATGGTTGCCATGGCAACCATCATTTATTATGATTAATATGCAAATTATGATCAAGATCATCATATTGATCGTCATAGTTGCCATAGCAACCATCATTTATTATGATTAATATGCTAATTATGGTCAAAATCATCATAATGAGCATCATAGTTGCCACTGCAACCATCATCTATTATGCATAATATGCTAATTATGATCAAGATCATGATAATGATAATCATAGTTGCCATGACAACTATCATTTATTATGTTTAATATGCTAATTATGGTCAAAATCATCATAATGATCATCATTGTTGCCATATCAATTATAATTTAGTATAGTTAATATGCTACTTATGATCAAGATCATCATAATGATCATCATAGTTGCTATAGCAACCATCATTTTTATGATAAATATGCTAATTATGATCAAAATCATCATAATGAGCATCATGGTTGCCATGGCAATTATAACTTAATATGATTAATATGCTACTTATGATCAAGACCATTATAATGATCATCATAGTTGCCATGGCAACCATCATTTATTATGATTTATATGCTAATTATGATCAAGATCATCATAATGATCATCATAGTTGTTATGGCAACCATCATTTATTATGATTAATATGCTAATTATGATCAAATTCATCATAATGAGCATCATGGTTGCCATAGCAACCATCATTTATTAGGATTATTATGCTAACTATGATCAAAATCATCATAATGAGCATCATGGTTGCTATGGCAACCATCATCTATTATAAATAATATGCTAATTATGATCAAGATCATCATAATGATCATCAGAGTTGCCATGACAACTATCACTTATTATGATTAATATGCTAATTATGGTCAAAATCTTCATAATGATCATCATTGTTGCCATGGCAATTATAATTTAGTATAATTAATATGCTACTTATGATCAAGATCATCATAATGATCATCATAGTTGCCATAGCAACCATCATTTATTATGATTAATATGCTAATTATGATCAAAATCATCATAATGAGTATCATTGGTTGCTGTAGCAACCATCATTTATTATGATTAATATGCTAATTATGATCAAAATCATCATAATGAGCATCATAGTTGCCACTGCAACCATCATCTATTATGAATAATATGCTAATTATGATCAAGATCATCATAATGATCATCATAGTTGCAATGACAACCAAAATTTATTATGATTAATATGCTAATTATGGTCAAAATCATCATAATGATCATCATGGTTGCCATGGCAATTATAACTTAGTATGATTAATATGCTACTTATGATCAAGATCATCATAATGATCATCATAGTTGCCACCGCAACCATCATTAATTATGATCAATATGCTAATTCTGATCAGAATCATCATAATGAGCAGCATGGTTGCCATGGCAACCATCATTATGATTAATATGCTAAATATGATCAATATCATCATAATGATCATCATAGTTTCCATGGCAACCATAATTTATTATGAATAATATGCTAATTATGATCAAGATCATCATAATGATCATCATAGTTGCCATGGCAACCATCATTTATTATGATTAATATGCTAATTATGATCAAAATCATCCTAATGAGCATCATTGGTTGCGATGCCAAGCATCATTTATTATGATTAATATGCTAATTATGATTAAAATCATCATATTGAGCATCATTGGTTGCCATTGCTACCATCATTTATTATGATTAATATGCTAATTACGGTCAAAATCATCATAATGATCATCATGGTTGCCATGGCAATTATAATTTAGTATGCATTTAATGATTTAATGTATTTAAGTATTAAATGATAGTTGCAATGGCAACTATGATGATCATTATGATGATATTGATCATATTTAGCATATTAATCAAAATAAATGATGCTTGCCATCGCAACCAATGATGCTCATTATGATGATTTTAATCATAATTAGCATATTAATCATAATAAATGATGGTTGCCATGGCAACTATGATGATCATTATGATGATCTTGATCATAATTTGCATATTAATCATAATAAATGATGGTTGCTATGGCAACTATGATGATTATTATGATGATATTGATCATATATAGCATATTAATCATAATAAATGATGCTTGCCATCGCAACCAATGATGCTCATTATGATGATTTTGATCATAATTAGCATATTAATCATAATAAATGATGGTTGCCATGGCAACTATGATGATCATTATGATGATCTTGATCATAATTAGCATATTAGTCATAATAAATGATGGTTGCCATGGCAACTATGCTGCTCATTATGATGATTCTGATCAGAATTAGCATATTAATCATAATTAATGATGGTTGCTATGACAACTATGATGATCATTATGATTATCCTAATCATAAGTAGCATATTAATCATTCTAAATTATAATTGCCATGGCAACCATGATGATGATTATGATGATTTTGACCATAATTGGCATATTAATCATCATAAATGATGAATGCCATGGCAACTATGATGATCATTATGATGATCTTGATCATAATTAGCATATTATTCATAATAGATGATGGTTGCAGTGGCAACCATGATGCTCATTATGATGATTTTGATCATAATTAGCATATTAATCATAAAAAATGATGGTTGCTATGGCAACTATGAAGATCATTATGATGATCTTGATCATAATTAGCATATTAATCATAATAAATGATGGTTGCTATGGCAACAATGATGCTCATTATGATGATTTTGATCATAATTAGGATATTAATCATAATAAATGATGGTTCCCATGGCAAATATTATGACCAATATGATGATCTTGATCATAATTAGCATATTAATCATAATAAATGATGGTTGCAATGGCAACTATGATGCTCATTATGATGATTTTGATCATAATTAGCATATTAATCATAATAAATGATGGTTGCCATGGCAACTTTGCAACCTCGTACCCAGGGTCTTTACTCGTGGGGAGAAAAGACCCTGGTTACCGCTGGTCACGTGACACGCTAGTTTTTCATCGCCTAAGGGGGGGATATTAGGGATATCATATTACATGTTCCACGTGCTTCCACTACGCTAGCATTCTTTCGTATCGTTCCGCCATGTTGGCCTTCGTTGCTTTTCTCTCGTGTATGGAATTTGCCTTGTTAAATAGTGTTTACCAAAACATAATTTTGAAACCAAAGCAAGTTATTTGTCTCGAACGTGTTTTTTTGAAAAACGATGTGATGTGCGTACTGCCAACAGGATACGGAAAGTCGTTGATTTTTCATCTTTTGCCACTGCTCTTATTCGCTAAATTCAAGCTGAGAGGCGACTTACTTACTGGTTGGAAATCGAAAGGTGTTTTTACGGCAGCGGTGGACTCTATAGTCATTGTTGTATCACCTCTCAATTCCCTTATAAGTGACCAAATATCTCGATTGAGCGTAACTGGCATTAGAGCGTCTATTGTAAATACAAAGGAAGCGAAATTGGAACTTGATTCAGAAGATATCCATGCTGACGAAGTTGACATCGATTTTAGTCGCTGCGAAGAGGACAAATTACGCGACGAATATTATCATATTGTATTTGCCCATCCAGAAAGTTTTATTTCCAGCAAATTTGGACGAGATTCATTGTTGAGCAAACACTATCAAGAACATCTGGTTGCCATTGTTGATGATGAAGCTCACTGTATTGTTGAATGGTAAGTGTCATTTTTATAAGCCTTCCCAAGTAACTTCGACCTTTCTTGCATACCCTTTCTTGCAGTGATCGAGATGGATTTTACACGTGTAAGGACATTCTAACATATAATTTGTTTTCATTTATTCAAGGGGAAGTGAATTCAGAGAGGACTATGGCAAGTTAGGGGTGTTATGTGCACTCTTTCCTGATGTTCCCTGTCTTGCTATGACAGCAACAGCAAGTCGAGCAGACATAAATGCCATTATTGACTCATTGGGATTAAAAAATTGTAAATTAGTCATTGGCAATCCAGACAGAAAGAACATTTTCTACAGTAAAGGCTTTCGACATGGACAAGATCTCGACGCCATTCAATGCATTTTAATGCCTATTGCGGAAGATCTGTTGGAGCAAAGAAATGAGTATCCACTTACTATAGTGTATGTTCCACTACGGTTATGTGGATTTGCCTACAAACTTTTCGAACATGTTCTTGGTTCCCAACAATATTTTCCTGTTAATTCTCTTCCAATCCCCTCAAACAGATTGTTTGCACAATTTCATTCACCACAAACAAACCAGATGAAAGAAGAAATTTTAAAACAGCTCTGTTCAAAATGCAGCGTTGTTCGTGTTGTTTTTGCCACAATAGCTATCGGGATGGGTGTGGATATACCTGATATTCGCCAGATCATTCATGTTGTTCCTCCGTGCAGCATGAAAGCTTATTTTCAAGAAACAGGACGTGCTGGCAGGGATGGCAAGCCATCATTAGCTTGTTTATATTACAACAATCCAGACATTGCTAAGAACAGACAAGCAATGAATGATGATATGCGCAATTATTGTTCTAATGCTAGTATATGCCTCGGGAAATTGCTGCTGAATTCACTGGATGCAGAACAAATAGTTTGTATGAAGCCATTACACATCTGTTGCAGTGTATGCAAGCTGAGGTGTGATTGTTTTAATTGTGCACAGGTTGATTTAGGTGAGATGATTGACAATGTTAAGGCATAAATACATGGACATGTGCTTGTATTTATTTTGCACACATAAAGAAAGATAAAAATTATATATCAACATACAATTTTAGAAAGGTTTTACTGTTAAATGTTATTGCATGGAAGCACATTTTTAAGTGATAAAACTGTCTAGTTAAAAAAGGTATTTGGCAAAATTAGAATAGTGAGATAGAGTGCATTACATAACCTTGACTGTTATGTATTCTGATATTGATTGTTTTGCACAAGATAATATATAATTCTACTTAAGTATATAATAGTTCAGATTTGTATAAAATGCAAATGCATTAATGATGTTACATGTCTATTTTAATACTTCCGTGTACAAACAATATTCAAATGGATGTGAAATATGGGTTCATAAAGGTTTCAAGCTTTTATATTGTTTTAAAATGTGATAAAATCGAATTGTCGTGATAAAATCCTGAGTTTATTTTGCTGTGCAACCTAGGAATTTTTGATATTGTTCATATAAAATCACATTTAAAATAATTGACTGCCCACAAGCAATAAGTAAAATCTATAAAATATGTAGGAAACATCATTAAATTTTACCGGATTTAAAAATTACAAACCATGAAATGCACCGCCTCATACTCAGGGTTTTTATCTCGAAATGCATAGAATAGTGTTTCCCTAGAATATATATAAATTGTACATAATTGTGTGTTATGTGTACAGCAGTAACCTACTAACTTTCTGTTAATTCTTCTGGGTCATCTAAAACAGGATAGTGCATTATTATATTGTTTTTATGCCTCTCGATCCACTCTTTAAATTTGTCTTTGTCAAATGTATGGATTGGGTCATGTGATACACCAACAAATGACTGGTACACTCTGTTGTCATTCTTCTTGAATGGCCTAGTTGCTCTTAAATCATTCATGATTACAAGTTCATCTTCTGCTGATGACCTATGAGAGTGTGATGAAGACTTCTGATGCATATGAACTTGACTCTCAAAGGCTTCCACAATCTTTGTCACTCCTCCAGATGCTTTGCTTGCTCTGCTAATTGCCTTCTCAGTCTTGTTTGCACCCATGGAATTAATTAGTTTTTTCATTTTGCAGTTGCGATTCTCCTGGAACAGGTCGATCTCAACGTTCTTGCCAGCACCACCCCTCCAACTCACGGTAGCAGCCCATTTGCAACGATGGGCTTCAGCTTCTGACAATAAAACTTGACATTGCAAAATGTTTACCAACATCTCAATGGCATACTCAATAAATCCCGAGGTGGAGAAGAAATGTGTAAGCAACTGTTTCCTTAAGATTGAAAGGTACTCTCCATTACCTGTGGCAACTGCATCCTTGATATCTGCAAGCAACAGGAATGACCTCATCACATTGACAGAATAACACCAAACACCATCAGTTGTTGGAATATCATCGTTTCCAAAGACATATTCATTGAGGAATTTACCTACCCAAAATGTGGTCAGAAAACAGAATATTTGCAATGAGGGATCAATAGAGGAGCTCATTATAATTTAGAATTTTTTATGCCTATCATAAGCCTGTATCAGAAATAAAATTGGCTGTAGTTTTGCCAACAAATAATATTCTACAATTAGCCTAAATTTTGACAAATTATCAATTTCATTTAAACCCTTAAAGGCTGCTAGTCATCAAACTGTATATACCTTCAAAAAACTCCTCTTTGTATGCCAATCGACTATACAAAATGGGTACAAGTGATCAAATCTTTGCTTTGGCAGATGGCAACCAGCACGAAGATCTTTTGCTCCAGCCATTCTCACACGGGAAAGCTGGTCACCAAAGCATGGTATTTTAATACCATGCAATGGATCACTTTCAGTCGTAGAGGGTGGGATATGTGAAGCGGGTTGATCTGGTCTAGAGGTGGCTCCTATGGTAGGGATGGTATCTTCATTTGAATCACTAGCCAAATGACATAATCCAGCAGACGAATAAATGTCATATACCCATTTCTCCAGCTGGTCCAAAATGTCAACACAATCAGAGTATTTCTTCTCGTCTTTCATCAACACTGGCATGGTTAGGACTTCCGACTTTGCTGACATTTCGTTTGCAAACATACACTCTGTGGTTTGTGGCACATATGGCTTAAAAATATTGAAAGCCTTGAAGCATTCAAACAAGAGTTTTGCAACAATCACTCTGTATCTAGATCTCCTTGCTTCCAGCTCATCTTTGTTGACAGTCACAATATCAAGAACATTGCATTCTCTAATATCTTTTTGTGGACCAGAGTCAGGTAGGTTTTTGTCAGCAACTCGGTTAAAAACAATGCTAGTTGCAACCGCATGTACACTTCTATTCTGAATACTCTGTCTCATGTCGTGAGCCTTCTCCTCCCAGTCGATGTTGTCCAGCACAAACACAAACTTGAAGCCAGACTTCACTAATTCCACTGCCCTGGCAAGAAAATGAGTCCCAATGTCTTCTAGAATGGCATACTTCTTGGCTGGTTGAAGGCAAATTCCATACTTATTCAACTCGGCAACTAGCTATAGAAAGTAAAACAACAAACATGATTAAACCGCAAAGAAATAAAGAGGAATTTTAGTGATCAATATCTTAGCTATAGCAGAACATACTCATAGAAACTGAGCACTACCTTGTCAACAGTGAAAACAGACAAAAAACGTTATTGATTAATGGTAAAAAAATATATAGAAAATAACAAACATGGCACTCCAGTCTTTGCTAAGATATCTATCTGATATTGTGCAGTCAGTGCAGAGTAATGATATAGGCAACATTGGCTGAAAAACTAGAAAACATGATAATCTTCCATGAAAACAGAAAATCTTCCAAAGTAAATGCCTACACTGATGAGTTCAGCAGGGTAAACCATATCCAATGGTCTAAATTTCTAAGGTGAAACTACCACATGGACATATTTTGTCTATATGAACAGATAGACATCCCATGAAAATTTTAGGTAGTCTTGATTCATAGTAGCAGCTAAGGCTTTGGTAGGCATTGTGAAAGTCCTATAAATGATTCCTTAACATTAACTGTTTTCTCAAACCCACTTTCATTTTATGGTAATCCCTGTCTTCAGACCTTTCCTGTTTGATTTTAATGGACTGGACAATTACCTATTTCTTGGTGCATGATGATTTATGAATGACACTTTACAGTAAAATATTAATTAGAGAGGGTGATGTAAGATGTCATGTACATCAGAATGCTATCATCAGTCAAAAATGTTCAAGAGTTTGAAACAAAATTTAGAAAAAGGACTTACAGTATACTGCAAAAGTGACACTTACATTAGCAGATGCATGGCCTTGTGCAAGCAGGATGGAATTGATCCTCTGTACTCTGCTTAATTCGTGGCATCGCAAAAACATGATGATGCTATATATCAAACATATGCCAGGATTCTTCCTTTCTGGGTAAATGTTGCTTTCCATGAGACTGCAAAGAATTGTATGTACTGTAGGGCATCTTCTTTCCATCTCTTTACAAATTTCGGACATCCAACTCTGAGATGATAAACCAACATAATTCCTTTGCCTCAGGACAGATGGGTTACTTCTCCTTGCAATCTCAATGAGCTCATTGTTAGCCACACTGAGAACTTGTGCTGGTGATATGTTTTGAACTGTCTTTCCTGATAAGACACCGCCACAAATAACATGACATAATACAGTCAAGTTTTTTATTCGAAGTATGTCTACATACTCTTATACAGAGCAACAAGAAATTAATTTCTTATGTTTTAAAATAAATACTTATATATCAGATCTTTGTTTTCTTTCTGAATTTTGTATGCATGAATGCACTCTGTCTCACAATCATGAAATATGTAGTACGTATGCCATTGCGCAAAATATTTAACCCAATACTAGTAATATAATAATTGAATATCAATATGATGAATGAGCATTTAAATTTTGGAAGAATATTACATGTATATACTCACTGAAGTTTCAGCTGTAGCTTCGTCTGCCAAACTGAAATCGATACTTCGACGACGCGAAGTCCCAACTGCAGTAACTTTTGGAGGCGGCACTGTAGCAGATGGTGAAATTTCTACGCAACGCTCAGCACGGATATTTTCCGTTAATGTTTTCTGAGTTTCTTTTATAATTCTTTTAAATTCTACTGCGTTTTTAAGCCTTCTGTCACATGGCGCACATATACGATGAGGAAGTTCGCTATCTTGCGGCAACTTTTCACCGAGAATAATCTCTGCGTTTCGAAGGATTGTTTCACACTGCTTTCGATAAAGATTCTTGCTGTGTTTCGGATCAGCAACACAATTACAAAGCCTACAACGCGAACTACTGGCCGTCGATCCTTTTATTTTATATAACTTTTTTGGCGTGTCTTTACTAGCCATCGACCCGATTGAATGGAATTCGAGCTTACCGGTAAACGCATGTTCAAATCTGTAATTTGATATATTGTGTGCCTCCAAACAGGATTGGATGCAAGCAATGTCGTGGTAAATACATACAAAAGTCGCGAAATATTGTAATGAACTTTCAAGAAATTTCATATTTTTCGGTTGTTTTCACACGCGCTCCTTTCCCACCCCACCCTAAGTAATATTTTAATTTTCCCCCAGATTTTGGGGGAAAATGCTAATCACGTGACCAGCGGTAACCAGGGTCTTTTCTCCCCACGAGTAAAGACCCTGGGTACGAGGTTGGGCAACTTTGATGATCATTATGATGATCTTGATTATAATTAGCATATTAATCGTAATAATCTTCCTATCAGTTATTTACACGAGTATTTAGATATGATGTTATTATTTAAAGTAAATTGTGGTCTAATAAATCTCTCGAGCGCAGTCCTTCCAACACAACCTATGAAATTGAGAACAACAAGATCCGTTCAACAAAACTCCACCCAATTCCATATCAAGAAATGCTATACAGCAACATATCAACGATCATATTCTATTAGATCAACAAGGATCTGGAATAGTCTACCAAAACACATAACCAATAATCTGAACTCGTTATATATCTTTAAAAAATATCTACTTGAT